GTCTCATCCTGCCCTTCCAGGCGTGTGGAAATAAAGTTTTATGAGTTAAATTAAGGACTCGCAGGCTTTAACTCGCTGTTCGTATATTTTGATGTTGTTTTTTTGCATCTTGTTTGGGGACATCTAGTCGAAAGTACCGATAGATGGATTAGTTTGACTTTACAGATATTTTTTGTTGCCGTGCTGCCTCGGTATCTTGGTTTCAAACACAAAGCAACCTCACGAATAGATGAGAAGGGGTGAAAAAAAAACACCTTGCTTTTTCTGAACAAGGAAGTGGAGTATCGATAGCACTTTCATTAACCGCAGTTGACTGGAAGTATATGGATGCACGGATTTTGTTGTTTGGCCTGTAAATAACCTGGATGTTATCGGGCTTTCTCGTAACAATTTACAGAATATTTTCACAATTAAAAAGAAACCTCTAATAATGTTTAAAGCCTCTTGAGGGACCCGAATCTTGCATCTTCTTGGTTTTCAAATTTACCTTATTTGCTGTTGAATCAGGTAAGCGGTTGTTTCTCTGTTCCTCACCTTGTAAGAATAGAGGATATATTCAGAATTGCACATACCTTGTGTAGAAGGTAAAGGGACAAATAACAGTAAGAAACAAATTTGCAGAGTGCTGTAGCATATAAGCTTATGAATAGTATCTCAGATTTTTTTGAAGTAAATGTGGGGCTGTAGTCATGCAGTTAAAACTGTAAATCTGTATTTTTACTAATTTGTGCCTTTTACTTTCTCTTTGTAGGAATGGAGGGGAAAAAACTTATTTCTGCAACAGACACACAGTATTCTAATGTGCTCCTTCAGTCTTTGAATGAACAACGTGGCCACGGACTTTTTTGTGATGTTACTGTCATCGTGGAGGACCGGAAATTTCGGGCTCATAGAAACATCCTTTCAGCCTCAAGCACATATTTTCACCAGCTTTTTTCAGTGGCTGGACAAGTGGTTGAACTGAGCTTTGTAAGAGCAGAAATTTTTGCAGAAATTCTTAACTACATTTATAGTTCCAAAATAATCAGCATTCGATCTGATTTACTTGATGAACTGATTAAATCAGGGCAACAGCTGGGTGTTAAATTCATAGCTGATCTGGGCGTACCTCCGTCTGAAGGAAAAAACATGACGAGTGAAGTCAAAGATGGTGCTTCAGAAACTTCAACTCCTAGTCCAGGTCAAAAGGATGCTGAAACCCAAGTACCTGTAAGGTCAGAGAGTCAAGAGGTAACCGATGGAATGCCAGTTATAACACAATCATTCTCCTTACATGGCATAGAATATGAGACTACAAAAATTACAGTGAGTGATTCAGATGATGAGGATGATGATGTAATTTTTTGCTCTGAGATTGTTCCTCCAAAAGAATGTACTAAAGATAAAAATGCTGCAACCCAGAACCAGCCTTGCCCAAGTCCAGCTGGAGTTTCTGACCAAAAATCGTGTGGCAGTGGTGGCTCTTCCCATTTGATGAGCACCACAGCAGCTCAAAAACTTGTTTCATCTGCCAGTCAGCTAAACCCAAACCACACACAATCAAGTGCCGAATCACTTGTCTCTGCAACGCCGCAGCATTTGACTCCTAATATCATTGTGCTAAATAAGCCTCTACTTAACTCATCGCTCAGTGCCAGCTCCTTGCATCAAACACATGTCACCCCTACAATTAATTTACTTGAGGAGAACCAGCAGCCATCTAATAATGGCTCCTTAACTGAAGTGGAAACAACTGCTGTTGATGATGAAGAGGTTGTTGAAGATGATGTCGATATCATTAGCTCCTCTAGTCCTGGCTCAGTCAGCAGTAGCTCTTTGGTTCACAAACCTTCTGTACCCAAGGCAGCAACCACTGAAGGATCAGGTGTGCAGAAAAAACAGGTTGTTACACTTTCACAAGAGCCATTTTCTAAACCTGGAGAATTTAAAATAAAAATCTCAGATGTCCTTACTGGAAACAACAAGGAATTCAGTTCAGGTGTAGCATCAAAACATGTTGCAGAAGGGCAGAAAATCATAACATTAGATACAGCAACTGAAATAGAGGGCTTATCCACAGGCTGTAAGGTTTATGCAAATATCGGTGAGGATACATACGACATAGTCATTCCTGTAAAGGGCGATTCAGAGGAAGGCGAAGCCAAGCCTAATGAAACGCCTAGAACCTCTGATGGTGATTCTCCAAACAGGAAACGCATGAAAGTAAAGCACGATGACCATTACGAGCTCATAGTGGATGGAAGAGTCTACTACATTTGTATTGTGTGTAAGAGATCATATGCATGTCTGACAAGTTTACGGAGACATTTTAACGTTCATTCCTGGGAGAAGAAGTATCCGTGTCGATACTGTGACAAAGTTTTTCCTCTTGCAGAATACCGTACAAAGCATGAAATTCACCACACTGGTGAGCGAAGGTACCAGTGCTTGACATGCGGCAAATCTTTCATCAACTACCAAATTACAGCCTCCCACATTAGATCAGTTCATAGCCAAGACCCCTCTGGAGATACCAAGCTTTATCGATTGCATCCTTGCAGGTCTTTGCAGATCAGACAGTATGCGTACATTACTGATCACTCAAGCAGTATACCAGTAATAAACGAGGGTGGAATTGTTTATCGTGTTGGCGCAGGGAAGGATGGCACTGAAGGAACAACATCTAACCCTCCAGCCAAACAAATTACCTGGGATGACATTTTCATTCCACAGGGAAATGAAGCAATTTTTAAACAAAATCCATCAGAGGGAAGTACTGAATTTGAGTTTGTAATACCAGAATCTTACTGAAACACATTAAATGCTGGAAAAAGGATTCAGTGCAGAAATATTGCAGCTGTTTTAAATGAACTGTTAAAATCTCTGTAAAATCAAATGTTAAAGTGAAAACAAGTTAACTTGTTCTACCAAGTCATCAAATGGTAGCACTTAGATGGATCATTAGTCGCTGCAAGTGATTTGTGGAAGCGATTCATCTGAAAGTTTACTTGAATGGAGGATAAGACATTTCCAAGGAGCTGGCAGTGGTTTTTGGTATGTTAATTTTGATCAAAACATGGGGATTTGTAGCTTGAAAAGGTACAATTTCTTCTAAAGAGCTAGAAATTGTTTTTCTAAAGTAATGGAGGTATTTCCTGTACCCATACTTACCATGTAAACCCTTCTTTCGTGTTAGCACTTTAATGCTGAATTCTGTTTAGACATTAACCAAGAAAACAGTAAGATTTTTCATTGTAGTCTCTTGAATATGGAACCATTTAAAAAAAAAAATCCCACAATTCATATTTTTGTGAACAATGCATTACTGCAAGGGTCCAAAATAACCCATCCAGTAGTTTGGAGTAGTGTATTTTTGAGCTAGCATCTTAGTTCTGCTTTTATAAGCACTATGAATCATCGATCTTCATGCAAACAGTCTTACCAACAAGAGATACTCGGTTAGGGCCAACCTGAACAAACTTCATTTGTACTCGGCAGTATGGTGAGCGGAGTATTCAGTGTCTGGACCTTTATATTTTACTCTTTTTGCAAAGGGGAAAAAAGCCCCCCAAACCCACAAAGCTCAATAGCAAAGAAGCTTAGAACACTTCAGGAGGAGATAATTTTGCCTTTTTAAAGCCTGAGGAATGATGTTAGGTTTTCTTAGTACTGAAAAAGATGCCAGTAGTTAGTTTGGAATAAAGTGCTGTTCCTTTTTTTGCTCTTCAAGAAGGGCTTCAGCCTGGTATTTTTTAAAAAAGTAATACTTACAATAAAAGTAATTATTTATTTTTTTTTTGGTGGAAGGCTTTGAAATGTACTTCTCAAAACTATGAAATAATCTAAAAGTGCTGTATCAGTTTATCACTGAGACTGCTGAGGATCTTGTATGCCTATTTGGCGAGATCTTTAAGTGAAACAGGGATCTGGATTTTTTTTTTTTCCCTGCCATTTAGAGGGTGTGGAAGCATGAGGAGTAAACCAACAGTGAAAAAACACCCTCCATCCACCATAATCCAAAGTATAATTTCCTGCACTTGTCTAGTTGTCATTTATTTTCAGTTTTGGGTTTATTATATTGTCCTTTTTTTTTATTCCTTGCAATTGGTACATGTTTAGGCACCTAGAAGATAAATGAGATGTCCAACTTGAACAGGAAACAGTAGGTCTGAGAAAAACAAACAGGTGTCTACTGGAGTCATAGTTTAGCATTTCAGATGTAGTGACTTACTGAATTTTTGTAAATGGTAATATGAAAACTGCTCAAGTTCTAGAGGTGACCGAGAAAGATTGTCGTGCATAGCACTAGTTAGTTATCGTAACCTTTCATTGGTTAAATTACAGTTAAAGGTTTTTATTGTCTCTTTCGTGTTTTAAGTAAGCATCCTGATCCTATGGCCTTCAAGGTTAAGGTTTTAGACATATAGTGCTCTAGACAGAAAGACACTGAAGTGGTAAATGGTTCAAATACAACTTGAGCTATAAGAAAGGGTACCAGAAATCTGTATGAGTAATGATGGGAGAAAAAGGAAGATTTGTTTACCTTATGCACGTAATGCTCAGCACTTCTGTTTTGTAGGCCAAGAACATGATCTACATCGTTATTTCCAGATCATATTGCAGACCCCTTTGAATATAATAGAGTATACTTTCAAATGTTACAGGTTGGATGTTATCTGAGATGGCATTTCAGCAGTCAAACATGATCCTCAGAAGACATAAGTATTGATTGCCTGTACTAGCACAGGTAGCTCCGACGTAGCTGGCTGCGTGCTATATTGAGACTTCCTGAACTTTTTGACAAGAAAAATACAATGTTATTTTTGTTATTGACATGACACATCTGGAATTAAGCATACATTGCAAAGTGTACATTCTGTGATACTAAACATAATGGCTATCAATATTTGCTGCTGATATATTTAAAACCTTAAATTAAACTGTGCCTACTAAAGGTCTCTTTTTGGAGGAAAACTGGAAAATTAGGGCTTTGTAACTATTTTTGCTAGAAGACTCGTGCTTGCATGTGTCTCAGGGTCTTCAGTTTTCCTTGGAAGTGATTTTTTGATATCCAAAGTCCAGAGGTCATGTAAAGCTTTTTTTTTTTTTTAATTTCACTTCGAGTATTTATTGGTTTGGAAACATGTTAAATCCATTCTTTTAAAACTTTTTATGGGGCCATGAGCTTTTATATTTAGATTTCTGGCTATCGCACTTGTATTTGGTTTTTTGTTTGTTTTTATAAACACTTAGCTTCCAGTTTAACTTAATGAAAAAACTTATGTAAATATTAATAAATTGGCTTTGGGGTAATGGAAGAAAAAGATTGAATCTGAAAAAGCATTTATATAAAAATTAAAAATTTCAACAGAGTATGGTAGCAAACCTCACAGTCATTTATATGCATATAAAAACATTAACGGATCTGCTGCAAAATACGATAATGGTGGCTGCATCCTCACTGTATGGTTTCTTTGGGGATTCATACCATAGCATTCCAGTATGTGAATTAAACAAATACTGAGATAACAGTTGACTGCTTATTTATTTTGTACTGTTAAGGCATGCAGCTTATAAAAAGATGCAGAAGCTGATGGCTATATACATTGAACGTTGAGTTCTACAGCTATTGCCTAGGAACTGTTCCATGTGAAACATTTTATCTTTTTTGCCAGATCTGTAATGTATATAATTGTACAGTCTTTCCTTAACATACTTTTTAAAGTTGTGTTCTACTTTTCATTAATCAATACTTGATATTAGTTCTTAGAGCTTTCTATGGCAAAAATAAAAAAAGTTTAATTCTAAAGATGGGTGTGGCATGTTTCTTTTTAATGACAACTCAACTTTTACAGTCTAACGTGTTAGATTACCAGCACTTTGTAGCTTCCTTTTCCTGGTCTTTGGGAATAGCAGGGAACCCCTTGACCAGTGGCGGAGGGGGGAAGGTGTTTTTATTTGTGGCTTAGGATTTTTTTTTTTTTTTTTTTTTTTGGTTGAGCACTTTCCAAGAAAGCAAATTAGCTGAAAGACTCCACTGTGTATTATAAGCTGCGTGTCGCGATACACACTTACGCTCAGAATAGGTGAAGCTGCTGTGGAACAGTCTGTCCAACTACGACCATCATTGCAAATGAGCTAGAAATCAAGAAAAACACACATAATGACCAGTGCAATGTATTTCAGCTAACTCATGGTTAGGCCTCTTCTTCTTACCAGGTTGCTGACTAGTTATTATTTGGAAGAGTTAGATCATTGGCAAACTGTGGCTAACATGGAGAAAATTAGTTACTTTACGTAGACTTCTTATTACAGGTAAGGAATGCAATTTAGTAACATATCAAATGATGCTTTAGATGCCTGTCTCCCTGGCATGGAGCTTCCACCTACTTCTGCTAACATCAAAGAGAACCTGACATCATCAGAACAGAATTAGGCCCAAAGTAATATAGTAAGCATGAAATTAAGTAAAGGAGACACTAACACTGCACGGGCTAGAGTATTCACCTCTGTGTTAAGCAAAAAATGAGCAGTGAAGATTTCACAGTGATTGAAGTCAAGGCACCCCATTATGTGGGTACACCTGCAGAATTATGAAATGTGGGGGCATCTGGGTGGAGCTTTTAAAAACAGAACTTAAAAAAAGGTGTCTCTGGCTAATGCTGGTAGAAACACCAGTTTCCAATACAGTAAATACAGTTTGTTTGATTGATGGATTGTTTTTAAAATGCACGATGCTGTTACACTGGAATTCCTCAACTAACATTAAAGATGCTTGTAAAACAGGAAAGTTGCTAAAATATAAAATGCAATTTATAAATGTTTACAAAAGTCACACAATTTTATTTAACTTTGGTAAAGTAATAAAAGGGTACATATGAGTCACAATCTTGACATTCTCATAAGAAATGATGAATACAGTGCAGAATGTTGCATTTACATTAAACGCTTAGTTTTACTCAAGCAGAAGGAAATGGGTAATTCAACAGAAAATTCCACCAGTTATTTTTTAAACGTGAAAATGGACTTGTCCTTTTATAGTGAATTTAAAGCAGCAATGTAATTTTTGCTTAAATATTCCTTAGAAAAAAATGAGAATTTGGATCATTTCGTAAGTTTAGTATTTGTCAACTCAAAACCAATGACACAATCATTTCCTAATTGTTTCTCTGCCACTACATTGCGTTCCCCTCGTGAGTTTCTCAGTCCTGTCCTGTAGCATCTCCTAGTCCTTCTAGCCCTATTTAGTTGACAGGCACAAATGGTAGAGTATGTTTGTCACAAGTGGGACAGGACTGTTAGCTTTTATTTCAAAGATGCAGCAATCAGTTTACTGATATTAATGTGCCCTTCTCATTCTAGTTTTGTGGGGAGTTTTATCAGGAGAAGTACTGTCTATTTTGAAATTGTCCATGATCTCTTTATCAAGATTTAATTCAGAAAAATGTAATATAAAATGGATGATGCCCTAGTATATAAATTTATTTCCAGTACGGAAATTTACAGGAGCTGCACTTCAACAATCTATACTAAACCAAAATGTCACTAGGATGTTCTGCGTACACTACTGCTTTAAATCCCACGAGTTGTATTCCTTTCTCCAGCTGTTTATTTTTCTTTATTACTGGAGAAAAGTTACATTTGCTTCTGGATAAACAGTATCATCCTTTAGCTTATTAATATACTGATTAATATTTGACAGTGGAAATTATAAGGTTAACACATAGCCTAGCCTAAAGGCTTTGCAAATGCACAGGATTAAAAACAGCATTATAAAGTGTGAGTGTACTTTGAAAAGTGAGATCAGAGACTTCAGTGTTTGTTTTCCATGTTGACAATATTTCTTTTTCAAATTAAAAGGAGAGAGATGTCACAGTTTAAAATCGAACTGGATTCCCCCCTCCCCCCGCACCCCAGCATGTATTCCACTTTTAGATTCTGAAAGCTAGATTTAGCTTTTAGGTACCTTTTTGTCTGCATCAGTTCAAAGTAAAGGTAGACAATTGAGGATTAGGGTTAACAATCTGATGCCAAGGAAATGAAATCTTTAGGAAGTAAGGAGTAAAATGTCAATACCTTATTTTTATCCTTG